TATACACGCATATATTATTACTGAACAACATGTTATCGTATAATGTTTCGTTTTATTACTAGCAATAGAAAATCATGTAATAATTAGAATGCCACTTATTTCGGTAAACTGAAAAGTTTTTAAATACGGTTAAGAAACAACTGTGTACAGAATTTCTCGAAGAAGTAACTATGCCGAGGGCACCGACTTTTCTAACCCCTTACCTGGCACCTGCTCACGATGCACCGGAGAAGCCCAAGGCGTGACAGCAGATTCAACCTGGCAACATGTGCATGCTTGTAGCTGTCCGGTATATTGCCAAGTGGGTATATTTTTTCTGACAGCTGACATTGTATACTCGCAGTTTAATGCATAACGGTTGTACTATTTGTGCCAAGTGTCTAGTGAAATTAGTGTTTCCATTTTTTGTCTACGGAAATGCAGCATGGTAAACAAATCAATCAGCCATAAGATTGAAAATTGATCGCTAGTGTCGCCGATGTCTTGTGCCGAGTGTAGTGATGCGCACAAATACAAATTTTAACAATTAGTTCGTTGAAAAAGTTCCAAATTTTTCATCAAAACTGTTTACAATCAGATACAACGTTACTGCGTTAACATTCCTACGGAATGTAAAGAAAAATATGTAAAGGAAAAAGAAAACGATCTAACCGGAGGTATAAATATATAAGTTGATTTTCGCATAAATGGTACTACGAAAAATAGAACGCGTTCGGACGAAATTACGGAGAAGAAACGGAATCATTTGAATCAGTTGTCAGTGGAATAAAGGTGGGTAAGGATTTTGCTTCTATATATATTCCACGTGTATATGTGTCACGTTACATTATTCGAATCTCACTGGCAATGGTCATTTCCAATCTTGTCTTAAACATGGACATATATGTATATAATATACCGTATTCGTATTTGTTATATACAGTTTGTATGTGAACACGTTATATAAAATGTGTCATAATACTTTGAACGTCCGAGTGTGACTCACATTTACGCAATCTTTACGCGGCGCTCGAGTCAGATTATTTCGAATAGATACGAAACCTCGCACGGATATTCAATGAATGGAAAATCCGAAAGCGCGAACAGTATTGGGCAACTTGAAAATCTTGTTTCTTTTTATAATTAGGAACAAGGGTTTTCGAGCTTCCGACGATTCCACCTAAATCGTTCGATTCGCTTAAACTTTTGCCTCGCTAGCGTTTCTTAGGTTAAAACGCCTCCTTTTTTCGTGCGTCTGATCTCACTTACCTTCCGGGAACGCATCGCATTCATCCGGCGATATTTATAACTGAAATAGGCATCGCTGACATCGCCATCACACGTTCCAATTTACGCTCCGCAAATTATCCACGCTTCTGTGGCGTTGATGCACGGTCGAAGCGCACCTTAAGCAACGTCGAGTTAATTACAGTGATGAGACAGCTGTAATCGATTCGACATTTTAGTGGCAGGTCGATTCACATATAGTACAATGATCGTAAAGGAATATCGATAAGAATTAGGTTATGTATTTACGAAAATCTATCATGTTCGATGAAAGATCGATTTTTTATCTTTCTCTTATAGCTGTTTAACGCGATTTGAGGTTAAGCGATAAATTAACAGCCACAATTCGTGTCTATTTCACTCAGACACACAAAATGCATTTACCGATTTAACGTAGTTACCGTTCGTGTTGATAATGCACTTGTGTGCATCCCACGGACGCGGTTTTACCATTTAGGCTACTAAACAAAACTTTGGCTAGCACGCTACTCGAACCGACTGTTGGTACACGAACCGCTATTTGCTTGCAAAAAAGAAAAAAAATTAAATAAGGAAAATATTTTTGTTAGGAAGATTAATTTATTTTTAATATACCGTGCAGTATGTCGCAGGAAATTCATCGCGTTAAGATCGAAGGCTATTAAACAATCAGAAAGAACCGAAGGTTACGCGTGATGCAATCGTAGCGCGGGTAATTCTTACCCATAGGAAAATCGCATTCCTCGGTATAATTGAAGTAAACGTCAAGAAAAGTTGCAAAAATGTGCGTGCGAAATCGTATACACGTCGCAAAGCGTGAACAATGCTCTTCCTGTATCATTCTTTCCAATGGTTGTCCGTTTCTGTTCTTTTCTCCTGCCTATACACACATATATACCGTGTCTTTAATTTCACCTGACTTTTTCCTAGCGCGAACACGTTTCGCAGCAAACTCGTTCCAACGAAGCAGTTTGTCCTCTTATCAAGTAACAATATCATAACTACTTTTAGTTATATTTTTTTCCTTTCGCTACGCTAGTTTGCGTAGATGAAAGAAACATCGATTTGCTCCAAATCACTCGAGCTAGCCTTGATCTTCTTCGTATAAGGATGGCTTCGTTATGAAACCTAGAAAACTCTGATGTACCTCTTGATCTATGCTCCAGTCGAGAACTGTAAGTAATGATTTTATTAGGAAATTCGGAAAAACTATAAACTGTCGTATTTCTCTTTCAGCGGGAGTTTCACCAGTACTAAAAAAGATTATGATTTAATATCGTGACGAGATTGTTCGAGTTGAACGATGCTGCGATGACAAAGGCAAGGTTGGAATTCACGCAACGCAGTTTGGGTATTTCTTCAGGGTACTTACCCGCCGATTGCTTATCGTCGTTAGCATTTTAAATAATCATACACCTATTGGGAAATCTTCGCCTTGAGAAGTCACACTGCTTGCGTTGTCGTTCAATGAATTCCCACACGTTTTCCGTTCCCTATTATTACGATGAATCTGTTTCGATGGAAAATTATATGCATGGTTGAACACTGTGCGATTTTCATTCAACGGTTGGTGATTAATTGTCATAGATTATGTTTTATAAAATACTCAGCTGCGCGGAATATCATTATCCAGGTTAAATTTTGCCAAGTCCGAGTTACTTAAACATGCGCATGATAATTGTTCAAAGTGGATTCATAGTTCTTTTTAATGGATCTCTGCTGATTGAAATTACACATCGCGCGATGGCCATCGAGAATTTCTTAGTTTGACGTGATTTTTTAGACTTACGTGCTTCCGATGGAGATACGCGTAATAAGGCGATGACGGCGATTGGCAGTTTCAAAACCATTATAGAATATCCTGTTTATCATTCGCATGAGTAATTTCCGATAGCTATCTATCAAAAAAGAAACGCGTCAATCATTGTTACCTGTTTATTGATCCAAGATGAATATCGGTATTCCAATACACTATCGAGTATTCAATGAGATTCATATCCTTGTAATAATTAGAAGAAGCTAATAAATAATTTAAATCGAGAGAGAAGCATTAGCTTGGAAAAAGTGAAGTATGCGTGTACCAATGTATTATATCGGATACTGCGAATATATTTTTAGTAACAAACGTAAGTTCAACCTTCGATGAAAACCCAGGGAATTTACAGCGTTCTAATCCATTTGCAAACTAGTTCGTGTCGCTGAACGTCAAAATATTTCTTAGTCATTGTAGTCATTGTGCTTTCACGGGAAGGTGTTCTGGGTTCTGAAAGTATTGCTATATCGCCGATAAACCATTCGAAACTGTCGATAATCTCGAGTAATATCTCCAGTAATTTCCACTTTACTCCAGGGTTCCTTGAAACTTGAATACAGCCAGCAATAATTAACTTTTTTTTTTTATCATTGCTAGTTTAAAATTACGTTCACTATCGTGGTAGACATTTTGTTTGATTTCTAATCCAATCTGATATTGCAATTTCTTACGAATCGGTTCGATTGCAGCACGAGGAAACGAATACCCGGTTTTCTCCGTTGCGATTTTCTTCCGCCAATTTTCAAGCTAATTTTAATCTCGATGCAAAAGATTAACCAAAGGAGCAACATTCGTTAAAAAGTCGTTCTCTATGCATGCTCGAGCGATTCAGTTTACCGGTGAACCTTGCATCACAAGTATACACGTGTAGATTATTTTATGTAAATTAACACGCTGGTTCCTTGAAGCGTGTTAACTGTTTCAACTAAATCGTGCAACGTGTTCCGTATGAATCAATGACTCTTCTGTTTAGGGATCATACGTTCAGGTAAACTCGATGCATTGGCAATAATCAAGGTTGGCCGATTTCCTTTCCAATGCAAATTAAGATCGTTACGATTATTACCTTCGCGGTGTCTCGAGGACGATAAAAATATTTAAAATAAAAATGGAAACGAAAATTTGTTAGAAAGGTATACTACGATAAGTTTAATTTATTCGAGTTATACAATTAATACAACTTATTCGTCATTTAAAGTTGCTTCTGTAAATCATGTATCGTTAAACGAACAGAACAGATGGTAACTGGTATAATCGAAACGAATCAGTTTGATAAAGTTCTACATCTCTGTCGATCATCGACGACTAATCAAAGTTCTTAAATTATAAAAAATTAATTTCGGAAAGTAGGAAACAAGGTTTTCATTAATTTTAGTACTCGTCGAGTCTATTTCACGCTAACAAAGGCTTTCATTCCTATTACCACGTTTCTCGTATCAGAAGTGTCGCTCTTGACTGATAAATATTTCGTTGGATCTATTCTATAGAGGTTCTTGAACTTTTAACCTGGACGGAAATAGGAGAATCAAGCCGTCAACTTGCAAATCGAATCTGTTCTCATTTCGTGTCTGCCAAACACTCTACTTTATTCACTTACGGGAATATTGGCACTGCTATGATCGTTGAACTGTATTTTTAGTTCGTATTGTGTTTTAAACCAGATTGTATTTCTCTAAATTACCTTATATCTCTTTGATGTTCGACTGGCAGACAGTACCGGTATTCAATATGCTAAAGTATAAAATCCGAAGTTCCTCGAATTTCTCTATAGTTACGTAAAGACAAGATAAACAATAACATTTGATCATTCTTAATAGCTCATAACGCTTATTAGTTAATAATCGTGACTAGAGATTACAAAAATATTGCATTTGCGTATTTTAATACTTTGTGGATTATCTAAATCACTATTCTAATATCGATATCTTACATTAATAGTGTTCGATGAATCTGTTAAACGTAAACAAACGTCTCTTCGTTCTTTTCTCGCGTGCATTCGGTTAGTTTTACTACGTGTCCGAGTTCGAATATGCAAAATATCTAAATAACATTCTGCAAACGTTAACAATATTATTGCAATCTTTGCTGTCTCGGTATAAAATTAACGTTAGACGTTAACGACATCAGAACGTAGAGATGAAAGTATAAGGAACAGAAAGGGCAGTAGATAATACCAGATATTTCCTACGGTTAAACTGGACCCTGAGGAATACGTTTCTTCGTTCTTGCTCGATTGTCCCATGCTCTCGGTAGGGTGACAGTAATATTCGTCGTTGCTTGGCAGCACATCCTTGACGATGCCAATAAAGTCGTTTAAAGGACACAGTTCAGTGCAACCAGGGACCGTTTGGATTATCAGTTGTTCGGAAACCCCAGTCCAGAGTAGAGCCTATCGACGAAACGTTAATACGGTATTAATATCGTATCTCATGATATCGTACGATATCGTAATGGTGCAAAGCGAGAGAAATGTTTAAATGCATCGTTCGACGCTTCAGAGATTAGATATTTACCCGAACGTAATAATTTCCTTTCTTATCGCGCAGCGTTTCCAAAATGATGGTAGAACCGTATGCAGGAACAATAGGTTCGTCCAATCCCAGGGCTTTCGCTACCGCGGCAACGTTCATTTCATGGGCCGAGAAAAGGAACGCTTTCCTATCGTACGGTTCTAATCTCCCTGCTATGTATGTCTTAATATCCTCCACCATTTTACGTATCAACAAACCTGCGAAGAGAAAGTGCAGGTGGATACCACGGTATTTACTATCACGTTTCACGTGCATAATAAAAAGAAATTGATATCCTCGTATACCTCCGTTCAGACGTTTCAGCGTCCTTGTGTATGATCTGAGTTTAAAGTCCAACGCGAGTATTTCTTTCATGGGCGTAGGATAAACCTCCTCCGTCCATCTTGGGAGAGTCAGGTTTTGAGTTGCCTAAAAAGAGCAACGCTCGATTATCGGATTTTTTCGAAAGTTTATACCCGCGGCTCGTGCAACGTCGAGATATCCCTTACCTGTTCTTTTAATAGATTATAAAGATAAGTGACAGCGGCTGTAGTGTTGATGGGTTTTCCCGTTCGCTCGGTCAAATATTTCATCACGTGCCTGTATTTGCTCAGTAACTCCTTCGCTTTGCCTTGTCGAAGGAATTTGTCGTATTCTTCTCTGTACCTTGAATGACGGAGCAGATGAAAAATATAATTGCGAGTATCAGGAACTGTCGGCTACGCCTACGATCTTATCTTTCACGAATAATTCGCACCGCATAATAAGGGTAGACACGGAAAGAATTACCTGGGGCAGTGATGCGGAAACAGGAGATTGTCAGACTCGTAGGGCACGAAGAACGTGGATGCTGGAATCCAGGGTAGATGCGGATTCCAGGTTTGCTTCTCCGACGGCGGGAATAATCCTGCCAGGACTAGCTGTAAAGACAACTGAGTCCTTGGGACGCTGGTCGATCGGGCATAGATCTTCTCCGGCCAGTAATCCGGCCCGAAATATCGATCGTAACGTTCACGGAGCATTGTCCCAATCCTGTATTCGCGTAGCTTACCTTGCTACATAATTCCACAAAACAATTAACATTTTCATTCGCCAATGCGAATCTTTAACGACTTTATAATTGTCTTACGAAGAAATGATTACTACGTTTCTTGCGGTTATGCTTATCGTGTAAGCGACAGCTTATCGTGCTGGGTTAAACCACGCTCCACCTTGATACTCAAAAGAAGAAAAAAGAAAAAAAGAGAGGAAAAGAAAAGATAGAAACGTAACGTTGAAGAGTTTGCGTGGGTTATCGTAAAGGTATTAGAGTAAATATTGAAAAAGTGTCTCCAAAGTGTCTTTATCGCGAATTACAGCAGAGATGTATGAAATTATGCTAGGAAAGTAATTCCGGTTTGCCGAAATTTTGAATATCAGAATATCCGCTACTGTAATAAAACATTGTGCATCTTGTTTTTTCAAGGATTTCTTAGAACTCGTGAAATACTTATGAAACCACACCTTGGTGTTGACACGGTACGCGAGATTTAGATTCGTATCTAGATGGGTTTCAAGATCTACCAGGTATGATTACATTGATGCGCATGAGAACGAGAACATAACGAATGCTTGTAATTCTAGAATATTTTTCAAGCAACATAGGTTAACTCACGATTCTCCCAACAGTACTCTTCTTGTTTACTTACGTTCGTTAAGTCTCCATTTCCCATTGGATAATACGAGTAGTCGCGGTAAGGATCGTTGGGATAATTTTGATACTCCCGATGTGGCACCTTGTCGCCATGTCGAAACACCTTTGAAAACACATGTCACTATTAGTATTATTATCCTGTCAGCGCTAGCGATGCTTTCAGATTATCACGGATTATTTTACACGTCGATTGACAAACGATCTCGCGGGTTCACTCGCAGGTATGCATGAAAGGAGGTTATATCCGTTTGAAAAACCACACAATCCTCGCGTGCGATTGTCACGTTAAGAGCGTTTCGATAACGAAATGGCCATTTACCACGTGCAACAATTGTAAATCCAAATCACAGTTGACCACGGTGACGGCGGATAGAAGAAGGGTAGAAAATGCCACTGAACAAACTAGTAACATGTTCTATTTTCTCGATACTAGGCCGATAAACATGTAAAGTACGAGAGGTACGTCCGGAATGTACAATTTCTTCGCACGATCTACGAACAAGTATATATTCCTACTCGTGCTTAACTAAAACAACTCGCCGAGTGGGGGTGGATAAGGAACACAGGCGAACAGGTTTGCAGTTCTCTCGATTTTTATCCTCGGTTCCCCGTTTTTGCTCGTTACGTTGATCCTTTTCCCGCTACGGTGTCGCGATCGTAGTGCTTCCCGAAGGTCACGTACTTAAGGAATGGGAAATCTGGCGGAGATTGTCCTTGATCTAGGTGGCTAAAGTTCAATATCATGTCCTCGAGAAAGTCGCGTTTTATAGTTAAATAAAGATTAGTCTGGTTTGTCTCAGAGATATGCCATTAACCGCGTGGTTCTATGCAACCGAATCTCACTTCCATTCACGATCCCGGCTCTCCGTTGCTTAATCTGAACACAGAACTTTCAGTGGAAGCGGAGAAAGTATGTAAATTTGAATTTAGAATTACGCAATTCGTCATCGAATATGCAAATAGTTGGTATCGTTTTAGAAAGTGCCCGGTGATATTTAACGCGCAAAGAGTGTACTACCTGTATTGGTAAAAGTTTACCTTTACTAAAATATATCACGAAACTTTGGATAATTTTTATGTACATTTCTTTTCCGTATTCGATCATAACGAAAGCGACTCGATTAGACTTTTATGTAAACGACACGAAAAGTTCAAGACCGTTGTAGATGTTAATTCATAGTATAATCGAGAAATTTACATGGTTTTGTGATTCGTCGTATTATCGTAACGATGCATATCCCATGTGTAGCAACTCCCATGAACGAAAAATGTCACGCATAAAGGGAGAACGTGTAATCGATCAAAAATTGGTGTTAAAATTCGTACGAACATTATAAAACGTTTTCCTGCTTATTTTAATTAATTTTCTCGAGAATTGGCTGTATCGTACCAGGAATTTTCTTCCATTTGCTTCTCCTTTCCGTAGAAATCGTTTTTTACGCGATTACAAATTTCTAGAATTCACGAGGAAAACCCCAACCGTTTCACAAGATTCCCACTATCTAACTGAAACACTCATAGAACACTTTTAAATACGCGCATAAAACTTATCGCTCGGGTGATCCTTTTTAACCACTTTTCGATAATAACTTGAAGGAATAGCGAGTGAGTTTTACTACGTCTCGTTGATACGTGTGACAGTTGAAGCGTTACAGTCTCGGTGAAAAGGTAAGAAATGACTGCTCTTAGTGGCAAACAGGTCGCAGTTTCATAGGTTTTGAATAGTCAATGCAAATGCTCACCACTTTATCAAGGATAAGGCGACATGATTCTTATCGCTAACCTTTATTTTATTGCAACATGCTTCTAGATACCAAGCATATTAACCATTTGTCCTATAACATTCACTCAGTGACGTTCTTAGTACATAGAGTCACGAGTGGAAATTATCCAGGAGAATGAAGAAAATAGAAAAACTCCCGTGTGATGGAAGGAAATACCATATGAATCATGATCATTCGTAATTGTGTGCGTATTCATTTTGCACCGACTTTGCGAACAGCATATATTAATCATTTATTTTATTTTGGTACCATCTGACGTCTCGTGGAATTTCTGGCTTAGCAATCCTGTCACGCTTGTTTGTCCAGTTTTTCCTTTTATGATCTTATTCTGGGAACAAAGAAACTCGTACTTAGACGAATACGCGGACCGAGGATAAAAGTTGAGATAGGGAAACAACGTTAAAATGCAATCTTCGCTATTTTGATTTCCATGTATCCCGATTTCCACGGCGTTGCCCGTTTATAATTTTGTCATAAAACAAAAGCCCGAAGGGCGAATACGTTTTACCATTTATTCGGACGTATACGCGGATTATTAGACTTTTGCATTGGAAATCGATTTACTTTAATGACTTTTGTTAATGAATCATTTTGTTTAATTGTCGTCATATTGCACGCGAGCACCGATATAGTGAGAAGATAACAGTGAATGACGTTATACGATTATTCGAAGCGGAAACATCAATTAGCCGTGGTTTAATTTAAACAGAACTCGTCCTACATCTTTCATTTTACGTAAAACGCTGCAGAAAATATAACGAGATTATAAGCAAGATATAAACTATTTATGGCCGATAGATTTTACACTCCAGTTCAACCTCGCTTAATCGAAAATCATCGGTCTCGGTTCAGGTGCGACGCGGTATAGGTTATGTCTTTTTTTAAATCTTTGCCATTTTAAAATAATTCTTCGCTTTACGCCTCCCTTCGTATTTTTTTCTACGTGTTAACACCTTGTCGTATTTTCAAGTGTCGTCCTTCGTTCGGAAGTCCCTGAGGGAAGATTCCCTTTCGAACGATTTTCAATATTAAATATCGGAAAACATTTTGTTCGATCGCGGGCATCCTCGATGGGATTTCCTCTTTCAGCGCACCCTGACGATTCACCATCGAGCATTTAATCCATTTTCTTCGTTCGATAACCGAGAATCGAGCGACAATGACGTATCGTTTCGCGACCTGGTGCATAATTTATTTTCACAGCGTTGATGCGCAATGATACGCGTCATGAGATCGTAGGCGATGAAAAACTATCGCAACACCGAGTCTCATAGGCGGAACGAGTTGTGGGTGTGTCGTGAATATAGCCTGCTGATACACGCCTCTGTCTTATTACGAACATGCATATTAAGGGGTTGGAGAGAGAGAGAGAGAAAGAGAAGAAAAAAAGGATAAACCGGTCTTGAAAGACCATAACCTCTAACAACCGGGCGCTATGTTCTTAATGAATTTTTAAAAAGATCCTCCCTACCACGAGGGTCGACATTATCCGTTTCTTTTTGCACGGCGAATCCTTGCTGAAAAGGTTTCATAAAATTGCATATAAAGGAAATAACGACGCGGATGTATTAAAACTGAACTCCCGGTATACCTTCTCGCAATCGCGTGTGCATGCATTCGCGCTGTTTTATGCATCTCGTGGCTGGCGTCGCAAGATTATTGCTAAATTTATGAAACCTTCGTAAAAACGTGCATGTGAATAGATGGTTAATGGTATTTGTTTCTCGATTCTCTTTGCGCGATTGAAGCCAAATGACATCGTACCGTAAAGAACTTTAATGGCGCGTTCTTTTAATCCGTGAAGCAGAAACCGATAGCAATTTAGATTGCTGTCACGTGACGAAGGAATTCGAGTGTGATTTCATACGTGGTATTATATTTAATAAGATTCGCAATTGGAATTTCAGCTACCTCTTCGAGGTGTATTTTTTCCTCCGCGAAGTGTACATTCGTATGTAGCCGGTGTCTGGCGATCACGTTGATAAAGGGTAGGGGAATCGATTATCTATTTATCTTATTCTGGTATAAGTTCGAACGTCACTGTGCCGAGGAATAGTAATTCTGCAAATCCGATGAACAATTCCATTTACCTCGAAAATACATATTTCAAGCAGCTATCGACGTCTTAACTGTGCACGTTCGCCGATCTCGAGATACCGGGAGTCGCGTCACGTTATGCAAAAAGCTCCGTTAGATTCTAACTATTCGTTGCAACAGGACGACATTCGATTTTATCCAACTCCCCACACACCTCCTCTATCTCAGCCTCGCGATTCCTTCGTGCCGTTCGTTTCTCTTCTTTCCTTTAAAATTCATTTCCGTGACCGGACTTTTATCCATCGACATATCTCTGGACCAGTGTATCGACTATTCGATTGCACACGTTCAAGGGTGCGGTAACCTTGAATCCCATCTTTCCGGACAGCCATCGCCACGTTTCTGCGTACTCGCTGTATACACAGATTCTCTCGCGCCTGGCATGAATTCTTCGCGCGATTTTCTCAATTTCCGTCGCCAAGTTATTCGCTTTTATTCGATAATCCGCGTTCCTCGAAAATATTCCCTTTCCTTATCCACTCTCGTGATCGATGGATCGCGAATCATTCGTACAGAGGATTCGCGTGGTTCTCCTTACGTGGATTTAGAGATACTTTCAGCTACGTAGTTACACGTATCGAGCAAAGGATCGTAATCCAGTCACCGGATCTTAAACGAGTAAATCCTTAATCTAACGTCCTTGCATCTATGAACGAGAAACGTAGAAGTGAACGGAGAAGAAGAGGAAGAAGAAAAAAGGAATTATAATGCCGGATCCGAAATGTATAACAGTTCATTTAAGCATAAAATTCTCATATATCATGGGTTAGTTATAAAAAGTGAATGACGTTTACTGTAATGCGATATTCGCATATATCACCTGTGCCAGCTTCAAAAGTTACGAGATATAACGAGATACTGCGTAATGAAATGGGAAAAATAAGATATTTAAATTCAATTTGCAACTCGAATACGAAGAAATAAATATTAACGCTTATAGAAGAATAAATATTAACAGTTTCGTGCAAATAAATTGCACCGTTCGAATGGTTTAAAAATGAACGTTCAGAAATAATTTCGCGACTAAATGTTCGGTATATGGATGCACGGAGACTTGCTAAGATTGCAAAACGGGCAATGCGTAATCGACAGGGTCAATTCGAAGGGGAATTTGGGACAGTGATGGCATTGGAAATAATACGCATTAATTTCCCATCCTGATGGTTCATAAATCTCATTTTCGTGTTAGCGATGCAACGTATATCGGTTCGACGATACGCGAATATCGTTGCCATTCTTTCGACGTACGACATTATCGTTTGGCGAGATTTATATCGCAGCCGAAATCGTATTCAAGAATATGGATATGAATTTTAATCTGTCTACAGGTGCAACCTCATCTGGTACGAGATGCACGGAGTGCTTGCCATTATTACGTACAGAATTAATAATGGATGCACCAGACTGCTAGGTAACAGAGTCGCAAATTAGGCGAGCTTCTTATCGTGAATGTACAGCCATGTGTATGTCGCTTTTATGATCCGCAGTCACTCACGCATTATAATTTTTAATGAACGAAGTAACATTGAACGAGAAATACATTTGCCTTTATTAAGTCGTCTATCTCGATTAAAATACAGAGATATCGAGATACGGATTTCTTGCATAAGTTTACGGGAATTACGAGTTTCTTGCAACATTACTGCAATTCCGCTCCTAGCTGGTAGTGTCCTTTAGCGATGTAGGTTGCCGACAGGCTGATTTTGCAAATATTTTTGCACGCCTGTTTTGACCTGTCAAACGTCCAGGCAGAGAAACGAGGTGAAAAAAAGAGCGGAAGGACATTTTGATAGAACCGCATCGTTGTTAGATACTACAGTTGCAGTTGCAGTTGTAGCCTGACTGCAGACTGCTGAGAAGGGAAATCCAATACCATGGAATTGAATAACGTATCGACAGACGTCGTAAGGTGCGAAGGCACGTTCGGGAACAACTTCCTTCTGCAGAAACGACGATAGATCTGCTCGAAATCGATGAAGTTCATTCGGTCTTTCGATCCCGTATGCTTAATGTAATTTTTCGATTTTCCTTTCCTTCGTTTCCTTATTTTCTCTTCCATGGCGTTCCTTTGTCCGCGAGAAGAGCTTTTCGAAACGCATACGCTCGTTTATAATAATCGCAAGCAACATGATTAAATTATCAAGAGATGACCGGAGGATAGGGAGACGTGACGATCATGCAAATACCACGTTTATTAAGCTCGTCGTACGAAAAAATTAGCGAACCGGATGAGACAAAGGAATACGGTTGCAACGCAGAGAAGGATAATTACAGGTAGAAATCGTAACAACGCATTTCCATGGGAAAATTATGCAAAATTTTCTGTCAAAAACTTTTATCCGGGATAAGACAGTTATAAACGAATGATATAGGTCGCCGGAAGTTCGGGTAAATTATCCAGTGTACAAACGAGCTTATGTTCCAGGACACGAACGAAGTTAGACCTTGGACTAGTAACCCACATAATGCGCACTGTGAGGTAACACGACCGTCCTTCGAATATCGATAATGCTCACACACAGTTCCTCGCTATTCTTTATCCTTCAAAATTTGTCCATCTGTAGTTTATCTTTTCCACGATAGACTCGAACTAGTATAGTATATCATGCCACCTACGACACTTCGCTTGGATACTTATATTTCGTATCTAAACATTACCTTCTTCGAGGTTTCGACAGAGAAGGTAGGGACGTACGAGAAATTTCGTGGTGGACGATCTTGGGATCCTGGAAGCCCGAGCTTTATGACACATAACTTGTTCGATCGACCGTAAACTACCTAAACGTTCCACCTTAAGGTACCAAAAATCTCGATCGTTGGTATCGCGAGGATCGCCGAAAACGACCCTAAGATCACGAGACATAGAAATCCCTGTCTTCGAAACAAAGAAACGCACCTTGAACTACACGAAGGTCATAAAACCTCGAATTGCGTGATCCCAGGACTGTGAGGCTCACCCCAATCTTCCTCCGGGTCATGGGACTTCGAAATCCCTGACCCAGACATCGCGAGCTACGTTCCTGTACCGCCCTTAGGTCATGGTATCACCCAGGACTGCCGCAAGATCGTATAATCTCATATTTCAAAGCCCAGGGCTGTAAGACTCATCTTCGCCAGTCACAATAAGATCGTCGGATTCGTTCTGGATCATCGATAAATCTTTAGCGGGCTAATGCAAAATCTTTTATTCGTAACGAAGACAATCCAAAATTATGGCATTCATTCTGGACCACCTTTGGATCCCCGTACCAATTTTAAACCATCTCTGGGTCTTTTAATTGGACCTAGATCAGTTGTCGGTCAGCTTAGAATTATGGAATTAACGTGGATCATCCTGACTTCTTGGGCCAGCCTTGAATCGGCTTACTACTGTGTTCCCAACGGACTCTGTAGCTTCATGGGCACTGTCGTTATGGTCCTAGGATCGCAGGGTAGCTCGATGCACGTTGCACGATCGTAGGGAACCCAGGGCGACCCTGGATTCGGTCAAGGACGGGTCCCGTAGTTCCAGGGTGGTCCGGGAGCGAGAATCGTAATGCTCGAACCGGGGATCTCGTCATGTTACATTCTAGATATGTTTCGAAGCGAATTTTGCCATCTTACATCTCCAAGCTCAAAGTTCCACGATTCAGGCATAGTTTCGGTAGTCTTTGTAATCCTTGGGTGATTGGTGCTAAACCCTGCGAGCTTGCGTTCAAGCTGGAATTCGGTGTTGAAACTTGGTCTAGCCCCTTGTCAGTCTTGTCTTCTCTCTATTCAAAGCTAATGGTACTGGGTGTTTTACGATATCGGGATAATTTGTTCTAATCTTAAGATATTAACACTTAGAAGGGGAATGTCAAGACTGATCCACGCAGGAAATTCACGGAAATTTGGCAGACTTATAGATCTATATGCACAATAATTATATTCAAAATTTTAGTTATCGATGAAAATAAAGTTCGAGAAAATTACTTATTCGGGTATACTTAAATAATAAAACCATTATATCAATAGAAATCGTGGTGTAGTGGTGGTCACTGCTAATTCTCGTTATTTTGGCACGAGTTCAAATCTCGCCACACTTTTCTGACGAATTATTATTTTTTTTAAATTATTAATCGCAGAATATATTATTTGATAGCGATTAATTAAAAAATGTAAGAATCTTAAGTACTTGAGAAACAGTTCGTCACTGGTCGGACATGTCTAAGTAGAGGTAGTGCGTCATTGGTCAGACATGTTTACTATGTTGATTAGCACCTTCGCCTACAATATCGTGCGAGACTCGTGGCAATGTATCGAGTCTAACACGAGTATCACGGGCGAGAGCCGTGGCTCCTAGATAAAGGAACGTAAATCCACCGTTCAACGTAAACATCATGGGTCAATTCGCGGTTCATTTTCGTCTATGTCTTTCGGTCTCAGTTGTGTGTTATTCTTTGCCGCGTTCGGACGAAGTAGCTCGTCGTGTTCGACGTGTCTCGACCTGACCAGTGTTTCTGTTGACTATGGCACGTGCCATGGTAAGGGACAAAATGATTATATTCCAATTCCTATTCCTATTATTACATCCATATTAACACGTACAGTCAAATTCTTCGTTTAGCTCTTCCTTGCATATATTTATGAATTACGAATCGTTATTAATATTGTCGTAATATTTCTGTTTCAGATCGAAGGCGATAAAGGAAGATAGTGCACAGTGTCGTCATAGGAATTTGCATGGTCTCCACGTTGTTACTCTGCGGTGGGACGGACCAGGATGAAGGTGAGTACTTTGTTTCCCGAATATTGGACGAAACGACATATATTCAGTTCATTTGCGTTATTTATATCTGTATTTAATGCGAAAAGTGTAAAAACGTTTGATTTACACCTTGGCTTCCGTTTACACGGAATTCTATGCGTTTAATCGTGCCAGTTATCTACATTGTTCGTTAGTTAATTGTATATGAAATTGTGGGAATTATTCATTTCTTAGATATACGCGCTACATCATGCAGCCGCGTTTATTTTTATTTTTTAATGCACATCGAATTTTTTTTACGCTCCGTTAAATCGAACCTCCTAGTTATTTCTCAATTGAGTCCGAGGACCTAGTGGAGCGTGTCACATCCAGCAGGCTGAATTCTATTAACACTGCTGCATTCAGTTTCGATTCCAGATTAAATAGAGTTTATTTTATAAAAAACGAGGCCGCGTACACGCCCATTTAATCCGCACGTAGATTAATAGTTTGTTTATGTGTAAAACTAGCTCTTGTCACAGTTAATAAACGATACGGCTAATGAATGATATCGTAAAATTACGGTTTCAGAGAGATTAGTTTTGTAAATTGAAATTTTATCGCGCGTGATACACGATCTATCGAGAAATTTCGTGATATTTCAACGTGTCACGGACGATCCGGAATTGTTTGCAAACATTCGAAATATGTTTTGCGCGACAATCAATTTCGAAGCATTTTTTCCATCTATAGCAGGGAACTGTAGCAGAGTTTCGAGCAATATTTTCGCGATACAGCGTTTTAAGATATTTCTATTGTTGATATATTTCGACTACGCTTGAAATACACACGGCGGCGTTATTTTTATTCATTTTTGTTAGCACGGAAGCTGACATGAAAGGCGATGGTTGAAAAATTGATGAAACCACGGTTTCTTGAACGGCAGATAGTAAATTCAATGTTCACGAACGTGAGCAGGCAAGTGCTCGATAATGGCAACGGCGAGGACTGTCGAATGGAATTGGGAAAGACGGTGAACGACTTTCCTTCGAATCGTTGAAAAATGATCGCGTACGTTTTTATTGGTTCGGGAAGATCTTACCTCGGGTGGTATCATGGTTTGTAATAGCCGTTCCACGCGGCCACTTCATTTTATCCGAGTAATTAATGGCAGAGGGGACGGTAAATGAATTTCGGGCTACGTGGAAAATTTTCGTTCATCCTGGTCGTCTGTTAATGAAGCTTCGCGGTAACATTATAATTATCTTCGAATTCAATGAAAGGTAATATTTGGTAATTTAAGCGTGGCCAGAAAGGGTCATTAAAGTATTAGCTTCATTTTCATTCGCTTTTCTTGGAAACTTTGCTCCCTCACGCGGGCAGCAGTTACATGAAAGCTTAAAGGAAAGTTGAGAAAGTTTCCGTGCAAATTGACTGGGAGCCGTATTGAAGTTACTGGTACACCGTCGTAATTGAAATCTCTGAAATCAAAATTACTAATAAGGTTTGCGGTTGACTTCTTTGCCAGCCATTCTTCCTTCTTCCTTTTTCTTTCCCGATAATTTGTTTTTCGATCGTGTTTTCGAGCGGCGCGTATAAAACTCGTGGTCGATCAAAATCGATAAGTCCGGTTTAATTTTGATATAATTGCGACAGAGTTCGCGGGAACAGGTGATCGTTCGAAGTCGGGGGATTATTGCGCGATTCGTTTCAATAATAAGCCGGATCAAGACGATCGAACTTGGCACGGCAAGCGTCTGAAAGGGACATCGTCGTGATCGAGTATACAGTTGTTAATTCTGTACGAGTTTAATCTCCATAAATTCGGCCACGCGATACTCGAGTGTCTGAATGTCCTGGCGAATATGTCCTTCGTACATGACACCGCGAGTACGGTTCGCCGCGTTCATAAGTGTATTAAGATAAAGCTGAAACGTAGCTCGTGTCCATGTTGGTTGGATATTAAAAGCAAGTCTTTCAAGCGACGATGAATTCTACTTGGCCGGAGAAAATTAAAATTGCAGAATGCTATTATCAAGGTACATTTGTATCGCGGTCAAAACTTTATTCTTCGATTATTCTTTTTATTCGGAAAGTTAAATGAGTTTGTTTGAGAAGCACCCGGAGCAGCTTCTAAACCGAGTGCACCGAAACACATTCGTTTCGCGAATTTATGAAATATGTAACAGTACGTGAATAAAACACGAGTAATTTTTTTCACGTCGATCCTTGTTTTACAAGCTGACGTATATTTACCGTATATTCGAATAGCCCCTTGCCACGATCGGAATTGTCGAAAGTGCAAGTGGAAAGGGTCGAGGTCTGAATGGTCGAAAGTACCGATTTCCCAACTCATCGCTATAGAATTAATTTTCTTTCATTTAACGAAGGCATATTTGCGTTCGTAATTATTGTACACTCGAATCATAATGTAAACGGAGAAGGAAAATTTTATTCTATAAATGAGAAGGGAACACGTTATTTATCTCTTTTATGTACCACCGCGGTAAAAGTAAATAACGTTTCTTTATTCAAAGAAAAATACGTATATACACGGTATAGCCTTCGACGTTTGAAGTTAAAAGTTTGAAGATCTTAAAAAGAGGTCATTCTACGTTTCAATAAATATACGATATAATCGTGAATACGGACGGAAAAGCTAAGGATTGTGGATAGACACTCTAGAAATTGACGCCACTGTACACGAAAACTCAATATATCTCTCGTCCAGTGACCTGGCTTTCTGGCTTCCGTAGTTCTAAGAGATATTTAAGATTAGTTCGAAGTTGATGCTTCGAGAACAAACGGCCATTCTTCAAAACTACGAGCAAGATTTCACGATCTTAGAAAAGGTTTCAAAATCTCCTACGTTCTTGCTTTTTACGCCGTTATATAACTATTCCTAGCTGTTTCTCGTAAATTGGAAATAAATCATTTTAAAAATATAGCAAAAGATATAAAAAAAAAAAAGGAGAGAGAATAAAAGCGGGACACGTATAAATTTTGCAAGTAACCATCCGTTATCTCCACAAATTTATATTTGCGAGAATAATTCAAACTGGACGTTTAAATCAGTACAGATTTAGCATTTTATACCGCGTTATATGATTTCCTGAAGTTTAGAATGAAAATTTACGGACATAAATAACTTCGCGTGGAAACTGTTTGAAATTGATTTCGTTTATTCGAGAACCATAAAATATTCAAGCGTTCGGTAAAATATTCAAATTAACGTCATGAAAAACACGAGTGCGACAAATTATGGGGTATATACCTATTATCGTGTACATATGTACATATTTACACGACATATGCGTACGAGTCGAGTAGTAATTCGTCCAGCCCTGTCTCGTTCCGAACAGCTTGAAGGGAGATTTTCACGAGATTTACAGCTTTCTGAATTTATCCGAATGATCCTTGTACCCATCCTTATCTCTATTTCCGGGTGTCCTTCGAAGAATGTCCTTTTACTTTTTGCTCCGAATAATCTGTCGTATCGCGATACCTCGCTGGCTTTTTCTCGTCGGAATGCTTTCTGCGAATCCCTACGTGCACGTGTGCGTATATACGTGTAAAACTCACACGGTATTAATCTCTGTGCAATTTCACCGTGATAAAAATTTCGCGCTTCGCGTCGAAAAGGAATCGGACGTTGTTCACTTGTTTAATTACGCGGAACGCAATGTCGGTATGCATACACGGAACGAGGAAAATCACATCGCGATAAGATTGCGTTATTTCATTTTTGATTGCCGGCTTAAACAATTGGGCTTTTAAGAGCATCGAGAGCGAAATCACAGACCCTTTGCGGAGATTGTTTAATTCTGAGAACCCTGTCTCGTTAAGGTCATCCTTTTGGGCGTAGATTTAATTAATTCCCGTCGGTTCTTCGTCCAGACCGTAATGAAAAATTCAATTTCAAACATTTCCTTCTAGAGAACCTTTTCCTCTATCGTGCCACGATATGGCTGTAAACTAATTAGTTTCTTCCGATGAGTATCGCCCAAACGAACGGTTAAATTGAACGGAAGATTCGAACTGCCGTAAATCGTGTCATCGTTTATACATAGTTACGAAGTTACCGCAACGATATATACGTGGTTTTTAATTAGATCGGGATAACATCGGTTACTATATACGTAGCGATAAAACATTTCAGGTTGATTTCCTCCGTGTACGAAGGCACCGCGAGATCCTTTTCTTCGCTTTTTTCATTTCCAAGATCACCTATTATCGCGAGAAACTCGCTGGCGTAAGCGTTACTTCCTTTATTGCCGGGCCACAGATTGAGTAGCACTACTAGCATCAAGTAGAGTCATCCGTCCAAGATCGGACAGGAACATTCTAAGGTTGAATTATTGATCCCGAATTGTTTGATTTCCAATTTTTTCAATTTCTCCTCCCCTCGTCCGAATTGCAATTAATTTTTATTAATTACGCACAGAGTTTGCGTAATTCACATCGTGAAACGTACAATTGGCATTCCGAATTCGTGAGTTTCAAGTCTGCTCGTTCATCGTAATCGACGGTATTCGGTTTAATGGTTTTCAATTAATTTTATTACGCTTATTAGTTTTCAAGATGGATGTTGAAACTTCGCCGAGATCATAATCTCCATGGTTCTTCCTTGTAACCTTGTTGATACCAAAGTTCCGCTACGTGGGTGTCAAAGCGTAAACTTGCTTTTAATACATCTTCCAACGCGTTTAACGAGTGTTTAAAACGGAAGCTTGTTCTTCTTGTGTGTACCAATACATGCATAAATTCTGTCTTCGTTTCAAGATCGTACTCTCAATAATCACCGAAGTTTCGCTTTTCCGACGGCACTTCGTTGTCTCCCTTAAGTTCGCGTAATTAGAACCATTTTAAGCTATCTCTGCTGCGGAGTGACGCAGTTATTATAAGATTTATGCAGGTGCACCGTGTAAAGGGACTTCTCGTACCCTTCATAAACTTCGAAAGGTGATTAATCAATCGAAAACGAATTAAGCTGCACGGCATTGAGCAGCGTATTATAAAGAGCAGCTTGATTTTTCATTTAT